AAAAAAAAAAAAAAATTAAATTTTGTTACAATAAATAGAATTAAAACAATTAATTTGATCTAAGAATATTTCAATTATTTTATATATTTTATTGAAAAACTACATTCATACCTTGCTTAGCTTTATAACCTAAACGGCGTGCTTTATCAGGCCTAGACGGTCTAGGAGCACGATGCATTTTAGTCAACTGACGATATTGCCAACATCTGACACGAAGCAAGAAGCGGAGCACATCGCTTTGCTTCTTGCGATAAAGTTCTTGCATATATTTGTATGCACCCATTGCGAATCCCTGAAAAACACAGGCATTAATATCATCTTTATCAATGAAAATAACACAATAGAAAGTTTGAAACTAAGATTAATAATTATTAAAATCAACAGAAAATTTTATAAATTTTGTATAATACAACTTTTAGTTTTCAATGAAAATTTAATATGTAATAAATAAGAATAATAAACAAATAAGGTTAATTTCTCTCGAATTTAAACGTAACATAATAAATATAACGTTCTCATAGAAATAATGTACGAAATCATAAGAATATTTTGTACAGCAACTCTCGATAATGAATTTTTTTGATGTGTACTTCAAAAATATGTTTGGATTCGTAAAATGTAATACGATTTTCAACATGAAACACTCACCTTCGTCAATTGGAACAGAAGGAAAGGCCTCCAACCTTCTTGACATTGATATGTTAAACCATTGTATCTGAAACATAGAAGATAGTATACTTGACTACACTACAACTAAAAGTGACAGAGACATCTATGAAAAAGAAAATGTATTAAATTTTTAACGTATTTTATTCATATCGATAAGGTAAAAAAAAAAAAAAAAAAAAATCGAAATAATTATTAAATTGTAGAATACCAAAAAAATTCAATGAATACAGATATTGATTCAAACTATGCAAATTTCACAAAATTTAAGATAATTTTCATAATAAATTTGATAATGTTTAAATGTCTATAACACAAAAATAGAAAAATAAATTAATTAATTTTTAAAAGTATGTATGTAGCAAATATTTTTGTATATTTTTTTTTATTTTACTTTTTTATTAGTATTTTATATATATATATATATATATATATATTATTTATTTGATTTGCTAGAATTTAATTATTTAAATATACAAAAAAGATTTGATTTGATTAATTTGATTATTGCGACGAATCAAAAGTTTGAAAGAATATGACAGAAAATGATCAATGAAATCACAAAAATGAAAAATCAGTTATAAAAATATTAAATAGCATAGGTAGTTCTATTATCGAGCGACCTGGTGACCTCTTGTCGAGAAATTGATTATTTCAGGTAGCACGAATAAGTGGTAGTTAAGAAGACGTAGTCCACGATGGAGAGTCGTTCGGATAGTATAAAGGATCCAATTTATTATCCTTCGATGCAAGAAAACGGGGGAAAAAATGAAACGACGACGGAAGCTGAAACGATTGACAAACGAAGCAGAAGTTCTGCTGGTAGCCAAGAATTTGATCTGGAAGAGAGTCACACGTTGAAAGTACCGCGCAAATTTATCACTAACTGGCGACAAGCTTGTGATCGTACACGAGACAGAACTAAGGATTTTTTGAAGAAATGGCGGACTGTTTCGACTAATGTTGATGAAATCGTTGGTGTTCCAGTTTCCAACAAACAATTGGAACATCCTAGTTGGAGTGTACATGTTTGGAGTAAGATTTTTATTTACGAAACACACGTTAAATACATTAGAAAGGAAAAGATACATAATGTAATTACAAATGGATAAGAAACAGACAATAAGTGTAAAAAAAACACAAAAATCGTGTTTGTTATAAGTATTTATGCACATTGTATATATGCATGTTTATTATCATCGTATCTTTATATTAATTAAATATTTTTTTCTTTTTTGCGTTCCTGTTTTGTTCTTTTTTTTGTTTTTTTGTACTTATATTTTTGATAAATTAGCGACTTGGGTGAGTCGATATGCCAGCGATGAAAATTTAATCGCTGTAGAAGAAATTGACAAGGGAGGAAAATTAAAGGATCTGGCGCCCATTCAACGCGATAAGTTTTCACATTTTTTCACTTATCTTTTGGATCATGACAGAGATGGTTTTATTAATCGAAAAGATTTTCGAATGCTTTCAGAGGTACATACTATGAATAGGCGATGTTATACAGTTATTATTGAAAGTTTATGCTAATATTTATGCTAATATTTCAACACTTTTGAAAGCGATTAAGAAGATTTGCGGATTGGTCGTGGAACGGACCCGAATATTTGAGATTATTGGAGATTGAACAGGGATTAGCGGATTTAATTTTTCAAGAGAAGAAACAGATCAGCTTGGAAGAATGGTTGTGCTGGTGGGCGCGTGTCGTCGCGCCAATCGGAGGAGCAACTTACAACGAGATTCCATTTTGGTTAAAAATTTTACCACGAATATTTTTTCTCGCCATTAATAATTCCATAAGCGGAATAATATCGAAAAAAGAGCTCGAATCGTTTTATGGATCTGTCGTTGGCCTAGACTCTGACAAAATCTCCAAATATCTGGATATGGCGTATAATTCTCTAACATCGGTAAAAACGCTATACTTTATTATAAAAGAATATATAATTACTTTGTTGATGTTATTTACTTTTAAGATATCTAATATGCTACAAAAACTCTAGGAGATAAAAAAAAAAGAAAATAAGATAAAAAAAAAATGTCATATATGTATAAATGGGAAAAAACACTAGGGCACAAATGAAATGTAGGATAAAATGGGAGAAAATGGGGAATGAGATGATGAGGATGAGAGACAGAGAAGAAATGGAAAATTATTAAAATAATTATTTTTGCATTTTCTTCAGAATGGAGACCATCTTCTCGGTTGGCCGCAGTATCAACTCGCATACGCCAACTTTTTGTTCGGTCGCGGACCATTCGGGCCAGGAGAACATTTTTTCGGTATAACAGATTCCTGCATAATTCGAGGCAATAACGTACCATTTCCGATCGATTATTCCGCGATGAACACACCAAAAGATAAATTGGAAATATACAGGCCGCATTGTAGAAGTAGTCGACGTAGCGTAGTAGTTTGAAAAGTAATCACAACAATAGGAGTAACAGGTGGTAACAGATGCGGACAGTGATACGTTCCGACAAGAATCGGTCAGATATATCGATCAGAACTATTTTATATATATATATATATATATATATACACACATATATATATAATATATTCAGAACGTCTGGCATTTTATTCCCTAATAATAGATGAATTAATACATACATTCGTATATATGTACATATATATATATATATATATATACATATATATGATAAGAAAATATTTGGTAATCGTTTCATTCGACTCTGTACAAACATTGATTGATATGTTTAATAAAATATATTGATTGGAATTTTTTATGAATGATAGACGTGTGATTATGGAAGGATAAGGATGAGCGAATCGATCGATTTAGTACATTAATAATAAATGAGATACAATAAAACATAATGAAAAGCAATGAAACGCAATGAACGAGATAATGATTCGATAGATAAATGCAACCATTCGTAAAGTATCGATGATTCTTCTCGGAAGTAAGAAACATGGAAGAAGAAATTATTCAAATAATCCTAATTCTTGTACTTTTCCTTAGACAGTTTTTGCCCATACCGCTACAACGAATGACTCGATATCACATTCGTTTATACCTCTTCGGATTCGGAACAAGCCATTCTCGCCCCATTGGTGGCCCCAAGAGTTAACGACCAGCTGAAAGAAAAGACGCGTTCATTTCGTTATTCGTTAAATAAGTTTTATCCGTTAATTCCCAATATTTACCCAATATTTAATTGGCAACCCATTATCCATGGATACATCTTCTCCCCATCCAATAATCCTAACCGAATGATAACCAGATTCATAAAGCTCGGCAATCGGCGTGTGCTTGTATATTCCCGATTCATAAGAGAAAAAGTCTTGATAAACTTTCATGGTGGCTGAAATGTAACCATGAATTTCACATCATGAGGAATAAATAATAAATACATACAAAATGATAAAAACCAAAATATTTACCTTGCACAGGGCCCGATGTTAAAATTTCTATCATGATATCGGTCTCGTTGCCCAATCGATAAGCCGGCCCGACCTTGTACAATTCCTTTCGAAGAGGATTCGCCGGAGGAGGACAGCCTGCAGCTTCCAAGTTCGTTCTCTTTTGCAATCTGCACTGTTCGTGCACACCTCTCCACGGATAACACTGTTCGTCGACCAGGCTGTGACAAGAAAAAAAAAAATGGGACAAGAAGGAAGATTATCAATTATTATTCAAATTTTATAAATAGGAAA